TCCTTGTGGGGAAGTTGCCCTCTCTACATTTAGTCCTGCTTTGTACAAGCAGGACTAAATGTAGAGTGAGGCAGCCGATTTTTCGTATACAGTGGGGCAAAAAAGTATTTAGTCAGCCACCAATTGTGCAAGTTCTCCCACTTAAAAAGATGAGAGAGGCCTGTAATTGGCATCATAGGTAGACCTCAACTATAAGAGACAAAATGAGAAAACAAATCCAGACAAATCACATTGGCTGATTTGGAACAAATTTATTTGCAAATTATGGTGGAAAATAAGTATTTGGTCACCTACAAACAAGCAAGAGTTCTGGCTCTCACAGACCTGTACCTTCTTCTTTAAGAGGCTCCTCTGTCCGGCACTCATTACCTGTATCAATGGCACCTGTTTGAACTTGTAAGTCCGTCCATTCTCCTCTTCCCCCTGCAGTTACCTCTCTCCTTTGGTTCCGTCCTCCGCCACCGAGTCCCGAGTCTCTCACTGCAGTGAGCAAAATTACCCAAAATGAAAATAAAAGTTTTGGCTCTACATACACTTTAATACTTACCTCCGCCAGGCAGGAAGTTTTCACTTTGTTCCCATCAAAAGCTCTGGTCTCTGGAAGCTGCTTCACATTCAACACTTCTGTGTATGTTGTATGCCTAGCCCCCCCCCCACTATGTGCTGTGGTTCCTGCTTGCCTCTTCATCACCACTGTGTCCTGCAGTAACATAATGGTCGGCGGGTAAATTCACAGTGTGCAGAAGGGTACACAGGCATTTGGCATACCCAGAAGTGTAGGCTGATAATAATTTGACTGAAAGAGTGAAGTAAGGACTCATGGCCCACCAGAGAGGTAAGAATTAAACTGTGTTCAAAAACTGAAAGAACATAACATGTGTATAATAACTTTCCTAAACTGTCTAGAGCAAACGCATCTATAGTACTTATATTCTTTTTAAAAAAGAGTAACTTGCTGATTTTCCCAGCTAATGGCATTAAAAACAAGTTCCTGTAGCAGGATGGCTACGTTCTTGAAGTGCTTCTGAATACCCCCCCCGTTACCTGAATGCTATTGCCCTAAAAGTTCCTAGCATGGCCACCTCACTCTTTAGCCTGGATCTGGCTCAACCCACATCTAGCCCCACTGCAAAGAAGAAAAAAAGGACATTTTCCCTGGAGATATGCTGTAATGAAGAACTAAGGACTGGTAAGCTGCAATATATTACATTTTTGTCATTGGGTTTAAAAATCCTTTAATGCCTCTTACTTTTACTAGAAAAGGGCAAAGTACAGATGCACTTTCATTTCTCCATCTATTTTATACTGCACTGCTATGTGGTATTTCTTCCACCACTGTGCCCGTCACTAAGATTCTGTAAACCATTTCCCACTATAGATGGATAATACATCTGCAGAACCAACTGTCTAAAAATCATACATTTCTCCAATCAAGGCTGGACTGTAACAAGCTTCTACCACGCACTCTGTCTCAGAATAGAACATTTATATCAATGTCCACTTGAATTAGTCAGCAAGCTGGGAGCTATGCAGATTAATCTGCAGTGCACCAAACTGAGCTGTCTCTGACTGTTTAATTATAAAGCACAGGCTGTCAGTGACTGGAAGTAAATACGTTGATTTGGATTCAATTATCAAGATGTGTGTGCTCTGGATGGCTTGTTTATTGGAGCTTATTAGATTGCTCAGAAGCAAACAAGTGTCTATGCTCCATGTGAGCAGAAGATGCATCAGACACAATAATGTGACCTCAGGAGATCAATGCAGATGAAGAAATGACAGTAGCACATGGCTCAGGTGGGAGAACATCAGAAAGGGAAAATTCATTTCCGGTTTACAGGTACATTTGTCGAATAACAAAAGAAACTAAACCTTAGTATATACATACTAAAAAAGCGGATGAACCATATTTGCAGATCTGTTTTATTAAAAATGTTGTATTTCTATAAATTTAACAGGTGATAGAACATAACGACTGCTTAGTGCCTACCTCAGTTTCATTTGTTTGATCATCATAAACCTGAACCCTGAGAATTACACAAATACACTCTTATAGTGGGCCTCCCACAGTGGAAGGGTTAATTTCTTGTTAAGAGTAGGGGTACAGGTATAAGGTGTAATACCTACCTACCTTATTCCCCACTCCAAGAGGCTCTGGTGCTCTCCTCTTCTCTCCAATGCTCCAGGTTGTGGGTGGGCTCTCACTATCCTTAACATACAATGAAGGGCTTTTGGTTCTCCATTATACTTGTTGACTTTAGCATGCAGCTGCCAACTGGAGTACCTTAGAGAAGAGAAGATGCTGGAGCGAGGAATAAGGTAAGTATTAAACCTTATTCATCTACTGTATGTCTAGACTTAATGAGTATTTTGAGTTTGCAGTGAGGGAGGGGAAAGGGGTACTGCAAGGATGTTTTTGTGTAATTCTTAGTTAAAGTGTATCTAAACCCAAAAGAAAAATATGACATATTGCAGCTTAGCAATCCCTAATAAGGCTGGGTTCACACCTAGGCGTATCGAATATGGGCGTTTGTCGCCGCGTTTTGAGACGCGCATTTTTACCGCTATTCGCGGTAAAAAAACGCACGACAAACGCGCGTTTCCGAGGGCTACTTGGCTGTATCCCAATGGAAACGCGCAACAAAAACGCCCCAAAGAAGCTCCTGTACTTCTTTGGGCGTAGGGCGTTTTGTAGCGCGTTCATACGGCCGGTAATACGCCCAAGTGTGAACCATACCCATAGGAAATAATGGGATTTTTGGTGTTTGGGCGTTTTGCAGAGCGTTCGAACGTGCTACAAAACGCCCAGGTGTGAACCAGGCCTTAATGTGGTGGCTGCATTCATTTTTAGGCTTTTCTCCTTTATTTTCACCTGGTGATTAGGGTTGCCACCTGTCCGGGACGCACCCAGACAGTCCGGGTTTTGAATGCTGTGTCCGGATTTCATGGCAGCTGAGACCTGGACACATGATGTCAGGCAGACAGGGGCAACCAAAATTAAGATAGGGGCTACTGCCCCCCCACTGAAAATAGTCTTGTGAATGGGTTGTGTTATTTACATATGAATAAGCAGTGACTCATTATCTCCCAAAAAATTGCTAGAGTGTTTGGGTTTCGCTGAAAGAAAAGGTGGCAGCCTTACTGGTGATCCGGCCAGTAAGTCTGTTAATTTCCAACTTACTTTAACAGACCAAGCTGTGCAGCAAAAGTGGGAGACGTAGGGTTGGGACAAAATGTAACATTGACAGGGGTGCTTACAATGGTCAGATTTTATTTATGTAAAAATGTTATCCCTGAAGGAAACAAAAGGAAAACAGTTACTGTAACTGCTTAAAAAGTGTTAGCTGGAGTTCGACTTTAATTTGTTAGTCAAGTCCATCTAAATATAAGGGTAGCTCAGTTGCTCCTCCATAGAGTGCAGCCATCCTAAGACAGGAAGTGTGTTACTGGCTGGATCACCAGTGAAAATGAAAAAAAAAACTTGCAGAAAACTATTCAGCCACCACATCTAAGGATTGGTAAACTGCATTATTCTACATTTTTGAATTTGGTTTTAGATACACCTTAAAGGAGAACTATCGGGTAAGTGTTTTTCCCCATAGTTCTTCTAAGGGTCACGGGAGGACATAAAGTAGCGTCCTCCCCTGACCCAAAGCTCAGTATATCGCGAGCTACATTACTGCCGAGATCCGTTCAGCTGCGTGATTGACTGCTGGCACTGCCTATCTAGAGGCAGAACCAGCTGTACCCGCCTCCTCCCCGTTCTGCCAGTCAGCGTTGGAGGATCGGAGCGGGGAGGGGGGGAATCCCTGCAGGGAGCCGTGACTGACAGTCACAGCTCTTCACAGGGAGATGATCGAGAAGTTAGCGAGCGACTTCCCAATCTATTGAGCCGACGTGTGACAGTTTAATTGTCACATGTCGGCTCGAACTATGAGGATGAGCGATTTTCACTCACCTCATAGTTCTCCTTTAAAGACAATCTCACCTCAGAGCAGTTGCAGACAGGAGAAGGCATTCCCTTGGATTCCTTTCACCCAGCCATTAGACTGCAACATTGTAACTTCCTATCAAGTCACAAAGATGAGAGGCTACAGCAGGTGCTGATCTGTGTAAAGGTGCCCATACACCTTGCGATTAACATACGAAAAATTAACGCAATCGCGTTTTGTACGATAATCGGCCAGATGATGGGAAGTGCACGATCGCAGTTACTGTACAACTGGACGAATTTGGTTGAATGGGCAGACTAGGAAACTTTTGTCAAAACGGACAAAAATCGATGGCTTAGTAGCTCTTTTGTACAACAAAAATATGAACACTGCATATGCGCAAACAAAAATCTGTTCTGTCCATTAACTAAATTCGGCCAGTTAGTATTGCTGACGAACGATTATCGAAGTCTCCATTGGCCTGTGCATGATGGACTATTTGTGCTGAAATTAAACAAGGGTGTGATGACAGGACAAATAAAATTGAACGATAATTGTAAGGTGTATTTGTGAACAATGACGACTATTGCACAGGCACCTGGAATTGCATGACTGAGCCATCTCAAAGTCAGCATGTCCGTCCAGGAAGTACTGTAGGTGCTGCTGGATAATACCTAAACAAAGAGTATGCCCTCCTTCTGGAGAGGAAAGCAGATGATCGCACTGTTAATGGGGAAGCTGGGGTGTCTTTGAGAGGTAATAAATACCTGGTAAAGTTGAAGCAAGGGTGAAAACTTTATTGGGGCATTAGCTAGATACCAATAAGGTAATAAGATCCTCAATTCAAAAATTGTCTTGTATCCTTTTCAGTGAATGCAAGGCGAACAGCCATCTTTTCTTAGGCTTTAGGTGATATAAAAGATTGTGGGAGTAGCAAATGATAGTCACATGATTAGGTAATGGATACATAATTCCTATTGATTCATGTAAATTGTTAATTTAAAAAATCTGTCCTTAATATGAATTTCTTCACCCCACTGAAAATAAGACAACAAAGAAAAGTCTTACCTTGTCTTTTAGTTTTTCCATCCAACTTCTTACTAAAAAGAACAAAACAGTAACAGTTACAACCAAGCAAAAATAAATGGGCAAACCTGGCATGATCTGTATTCTAGGCAAGCAGCTCAATACACAGTTGCAATATATATTTGGGAAGTGTTTTGCCTGACAGAAAATGTGTCATTCTGTTAAGCCAGTCCTCAACATCTATTGCAGCAGTAGTGGTAAATTGAAACATTTCACCGTCACACACTCAGGGAATCGAACATCAAAATCCCATTGATATATTTAATAAAGTGCAAAATGTCTCATAGCTTCATAAGGTGCTAACGTTTCGGATCCACGCAGGGATCCTTCTTCCTACAGGTTCATTTACAAAAAGACTGTTACTTTGCACATTTAGGGCAAAGTAAAAATTGATCTTGAAAGGACAACCACCACCCAACTGAAACTTCCCTGCCGCTCCATTCCTCCATGACAGGAGTTAAACCTTGTGTAAGTTCCATGTTACATTTGGTGTGTTGGTGTATACATCGGGTTAATGACTATTACTATTGGTGATTGGGCCTGAGCACTTCATTGTGTATGGACAGGGAGGAGGCAACATGTTTCTACATGTCTAAAAGGATGTTTGGGTATAGGAAAGTATTTTTACTGAGGTCTCCAATGAAGCGAGGAGCATAGTGAAGGTGACTGACAGCAAGAGAGTGTGTTGTTTTTTTCAAGAAAACCAGGCAAAGTGACAAGGTTTATAAGCCTAAACATCCAGTGTCCCCATTCATATAGTTTCCAAACACCAGAAAAATAAAATGTCAAACCATGTAGCTACTTGGATTTCTAATATGCTATTTTAAGAGTATTTTAAGGTAAAACAGATTATGTCTATAATCTGAGTTATAATCTGAGATGAGTTCCTAAAGACTCATCTCTTCAGGGAAGCCTATCCCACCTCGACCTAACCACTGAACCTTCACATTCTCAAATAATTCATCCCCAAACAGATCCCTCCTTATGTATCATTTCCCCCTCCTCTTTCAGATTGTATGCCCTCAGGGGCAGGGCCCTCTTTACCATCTTGTATTGTATTGTAACTGTAATGTCTTCCTTATATTGTAAAGCGCTGCGCAAACTGTTAGCGCTTTATAAATCCTGTATAATAATAATAATAATGTCTATGCTAATAATATGTAAAGTGAAAATGCTTATTTCCGACAGATCATGTTTCAGTGGCAATGTCATAAATGGCTTCTGGGCTCCTTTGTTTTCCAGTGGGAAAAGCTCTATCTCTTTACTGAATGCAAAAACATGATTATTTTAAAAGGCTCTCATTGTAATACAAAGACAGTCCTCAACAGCCACAAGGCATAGTGACTTTCCTTTTTTGAAGAAGATATTACAGTTATGTAATATTTAATATTGCAGCAATGTTCTTTTTGTTAATAATACCCTTACGTTGACAAAAACCTTAAATATGATGGTGACACAGTTCTCAGCAAGGAATAATTTTCCTATTTTGTAAACAGAAAAAATGACCATACAGAACAGCAGCCATGGTCTTCCTTTTGTAAAAAAAATAATAATAATGATAATAATAATTTTCAGAATTCCATGCTTCCTTGGTGCTCTGAACAGACTGAAGCTGCCTTCACTTCTATGCATTCCACTTTACAACCTGTTACCGCAACGCAAGTCAACACACAACACTTACAGAGCCATTCATTTATATTGGCATTTAGAAGCACAACTACAGTAGTCTACAACACATCCACAATACAGGGCACCGCAACACACATGCCACATAGTGTGCTGCCTTAAAAAAAAAAAGGGCACAGGTTTGTTTTTTCCGTCATTGTGCATTGGCAACTCTTTCAAAACAAATCAGCTGTCTAACGTCTGAAGGGGCTGTACATAAAACTATGCAAAATCTGCATCTAACATCTAGAATACAGAAGGTTAAAAGCAGGGCTCCACAAACTTTTTAAACAAAGGGCCAGATCACTGTCCATCTTAGTGCTCAGACTGTAGCCAAAAAGAGTAAAAAAAATGCCCCTGAGTCGGAGGTCAAAAGTAGTAAAGAACCCCCTTATGTCTGTGGTTAGCACCATGCAGGTCCTACCCAGATGAACCTTGTTAATTCCAAGAGCTAATGTACAAGTAGCTCATAGGAGTCTATGCAGCTAAGTAGAGCAGGGACAATTTTGCTGAGAGAGAACCAAGTGGAGTGGTATGGAACTGTCATCTAGAAGCCTGGAGAGTCTAATCTAAAGTCTGCTTTTTTAATTTACCTTAGATGTTGGGGAAGACAAGGAGGCCTTTACTAAAATATAATATAATCTCTACTTTAAGCTTTTAAAATAATAAAATACAAACAATTAACAAAGGGTAAATATCCCTAGGGGGGTAATAGATAACAATAAACACATGACAGGGTTACTTAACATTCCCATTCCCAAGCTAAAATAATAAAATGCTTTTAGCTTTAGATACAGTTGAAGAAATGTCAAAATATTATATTTCAGATAAAGGTATGTTTTATTTCCACTTCTTTCCCTAAACACTCTTGGTTCAAATCACTTGGGTAAGGTTGACCATAATAGTTCAATTCACCCTAAATTCATATTTAATTTCTGATGCAGGGAAAATATATTACACACTGAGGAGTGCAGAAGTAAGGCTGAGACGCTTCCTTCAGCAACAGCAAAAAAGGCCTCTCCAAGGCAGAGTGGGCAGAGCTGGTAACTTTGTTGGTGAGACCATACCCCTGAATTCCAAGAAGATTGCTCATCACCATCCAACTGAAGTACCAGTTTGGTTAGAGCAGGCTTTAAAAAACTGACAGTACTCCAACGCTTTGCAAGATTTACCCCAGTTGAGTTCAGCGATGAGTAATAAACATAATCACAAGATGATGGTTCCTATGGAAACTAAGGAGAGATGTGTCATAAATGTCAGTGTACTGACCGCAGGAGTTGAGCAGCACTTTAAACATTACAAGAAATAGAACAGAACTAGACATCAAAGAAAATAGAGAATATTTATTGTTTTAAGTATCAAGGAAGACCAACTTTTATAAATGATGTTCATTGGGGTTTATGTTATGGTGTGGTTCCATAACATCCAGCTACAGCCTGTGATTATTTAAGAATTTAGGAGTGCTGGATTGGACTCTCCAATCCAGCAGCCAGGAACATGTGTGGAAATTGATGACAATGGCAAAGCCTCAGAAATGTTAGGCTCCAGACATAATGTTTGGTGCATTTGCTACTTGGCTCTACAAATTTGTCTAGCTTGTTTATACCTAATGCTATAATCAATAATAGTTTTCTGGTAACTTATTGCACACTCTCCAATCATCTACAGTCAATATTTGGACTGTAGTCTCGGCTGTACTGCGCAAGGAAAAAAAGTACCGTATATATTCGAGTATAAGCCAAGTTTTTCAGCCCATTTTTTTTGCTGAAAGGTAAACAATTCTGTAACTATAAATTAATAAACCTAACAGTTAAAATCTCATATATTATTTAATATGTTTATGTAATTTTAAAAGACATGTTCAACCTTTTCAAATCTACTGCTTTCAATAAAACATTACCAGGCAATCTTGTCTTGGTATGTTTCTTAAAAAGTTTTAATAGGGGGTAAAATAAAATAAAAATGAATCTGTATTGATAACTGGAAACTCAAATCATGCATCAAGCTTCGTTCAAAGAAATTAAAGTATGAGTTCAACCAAAACTGATTTTTTTTTTTTAAATTTAACACATTGGGGTTGATTTACTAAAGGCAAATATGCTGTTCAATTGGCGAGGGAATTCGCACTTTCAAAGTAAATTTCACCCAGTGTAGTGAATGAGGTGAAGCTCTGCTGACTTCCATCAAACCATACAAGCAAAAATACTGTTTTTTTTTGTTGTTGTTTCCTTGCACATGATTGAGTCCTCTTACCAAAGTGACATTTTACCCATTCACTAAGCTAAGGAAAAACTTGCCTTGCAAAAGACTGTAACAGAACACTGCTTGATATCAACGTTTGACAGTAAAAGTGCTTTCTAGCACAATTATGATCCTAAAACACAAACCAAAAATATCCTTTTAAATAGATTGTGAAAAAGGCTTCAGAACTGCTTTTTGTCTTTTATTCCAGGATTATCTCCCCAGATAATCCTCAATACAGTAACAAAATCATTCACAGAAAGGAACAGATAGGGGAAATAAACTGGTTTCAGGATTCTCGGATGGAAAAAGCATTGGCAGTATCAGCAGTGAGAAAAAGGAAGCCATTTTCAGCAATACTGGCAAAGTGGAACAGAGGCCTCTCTAAATTCCTGAAGAACCTGAGAAAGGTGAAGGTCTCATTAAGCAAGACAAAGAGCCACGTATAGAGGTTGGAAATGAGCAATCAGAAAAGGACTTTCATGGATCCCGTTTTAATAATGTAATATCTGACTGCTTTTTGTTTGTTACTGCACGTTATTATTGCTTTTTACAGATGCTTCAGCTTAAAAGTGAACCAGTGCTTAACCCACATAAAACAAAGATACAAGTTCACTTTAATATAACCCTCTTCTGCAGATTGACCCAGCACTGTCACAAAGAGTCATATGCCCCTCCATACTTAGAAGATATATATTTCTTTTAGCTCCCACTATGGAATGGAGCAGCAGCGGAGGGGGAAAGGGTAAGTACAGTATGTGCTGCGGGCATATGGGGTTAAGTCAAGCCTGTTACTTTGCTGTGCATGGGCAAAAAGCAGGTTTACTCAAAGATACGAGTTTACAACGTTTTTTTTGGGGGGGGGGGGGGGGTGACGCCG